GGCGCGTTTGCGTCCACACTGGGTAGTGCGCGGGGTGTGGGAGACGAGGTACGCGCTGGGTAAGTGCTGAGCAAGCCTTGGAACTACTCCACCGGCTTCGCCAGACTTCCCCGTATCTGGCGCGCTTTTCAAAATGGAAATCATTTTACTCTTAATATTTTTATACTTTAATTCTCTATCGATCCCATATCCGTGATCATTTTCTTGGTATGTTCCATCACATTTCATCTTTCTGCCGCAGTTACATTGGTTACCACCTCATTCAGAAGCTTTTAAACTTCAATCGAAGTAAATGACTGTTTTGTACCATATAACCTCTTTCTTCAGCCCTTATTAACTCAATGGCGGTGGTAGGGAGGCAAGCAAATTACTGTTTACAAATTACTATGGCCTTCCTGAATTGCAATATTGTCAATTATGTAAATCGAAAATTCAAGTTTGGATCTTCTTAGTATCTGCAGCAATTCTGACTTCAGTAATTCGTCGGAAAATGTCAAGTGTCTTGCCTACCAGTTAATTATGTCTTGTTTTCTCCATGCCAAAGTAAGTGCCTTGTCCAGAATAACTGAATGGTACCACGAATATTTGATACAATACGCACGAAGGTTGTTGAGAGTTGAGTTGAGCAGATTGTTGAGAGGCGTTTCTTCAATCCAACGACGCAAGGTTTCATGTTACGCTTCTTCGTGGTAGTCTGTACATTTTCTTGAACGGAGACAGAGAAGGCCATTTTTCTCGAAACCCTCCGTAGTTCCGACGTGCGCAATAGTAATCCTTAACTGGAGCACCAGAGCCCCGGGGCGCCTTCATAATTTATTTTGATTAAGAATTTTGCCGCAATGAGTTCTACGTAACAGAGACTCCCATATAAATCAACTTCAGTGCATTTACTGAAGTTTCTAACCTGTCTAATGTTTGTCCACGTTCTGATTAGTGCTCCGTAGTGCTGTTGTAAAAGTGTATATATGTAGACAACGGTAAGGGTCTCGTAGACCCTAGGGCTCCATTAGTGTAAGTATATTGGCTTAGTGTAATCTCCTTTGTTGCATTTACAATTGTAAATAGGAAAACATTTATTGCTTGTATAAAGAGTCTTATACCAATATGCAATGGATCAACCAGACAATTTGCATACATTGCTTTGATTGATCATAATTTTTCTTTCAAATTATGGTTTATAGAAATATTACAAGTGCTGTCCATTCTTACAACCAACGATATACCAACAATAAAAATATATATCAAAATTTACTACCAAACCGACAATATAAATATAATCCATACAAGAAACAATCACTATCCAACAATATAAATTTCGTTTAACTTTTAACGTTTTTTTTCTAATTTTTATTTTGCAATTTGTTTGCGAACCAATAAATCCATATAAACAATGACGATGCTCTCAATGTTCAAACAATTTTTACTTCGTTACATAAATATATTATTGTGTTTAAAATTCATGTAATTACTTTTGATTTTATTTAAGGTATTTATAATAACATTAATGATTATTATTATTAATCTATTTTACGGCATTTCGTTTTGAAAAATGCATCTTTTGATTGAGATACATTCTTTTTAACAATGTAACAGTATTTTCTGTAGAAATTTCTATCTAAAGATCTTTAGAATTCAGCCATTTTCACACACCTGTTTCTTTTTCTTCAGGAGATTTTCGATTTTTTCCTTTCACCAGTATTCCTTCATTCTAAATCTTCGTTTCTTTTTAGATTCCTTTATGAAAATGTACATTTCCTCTGTGGACCTCTCGATTTTCCTATTAATCTTTTGCGCCAACCTTAACGTGGAAATATGGAAATTATAGAAATAAAGGAATATGGTGGATTCGTTTCATAACTCTCAAGTTAATAACACACTTTCAATTTTGTTTCCTGTTGTCCAGGCGGCGAAATAGTCGAAGAAATGTTGAGAGAGCATTTTAATAGAAGCTGCAACGAAACATCACGTCTTCTATCAGTAGTTTTTCGTCAGACAAGAGCGTTGTGGAAAAGAGACGACACACAATTGACGAAGATTGTTACTTGGAGAAAGAATTAACGAGTATTGAAGACGTTGTCACAGTTACCTCTGTCCAAACGAAATGCAAATGAAGTTTATAATATTTATTATATTTAGTGAATTTGTCACCTCTAATGTTAAGAACATTTTCTTGTGAAGTTTTTCAAAATATCAGGAACTTTCTATATTAGCTAACAACGAAGTTGTTCAAGAAGAGTCTCCCAAAACCACAAAAACATTTTACATCAAATTCTGCATTAAAAGACGTTTTGCTGATGTATGCCTTTTTTAAAAGTCTAGTGTCAATTTATCTGTTGGTACTATATTTTTGATATATTTTTATACCTCTGTATATTCAATATCTACTTCGAGGAGGAATAACAAAATTATTAGGTTATACGAGTAGATATACTAACAATGTAAGGCGCAATGTAAATTTACTTTCTTTTTACGAAAAATGTGTATAGTTGAAGGTTTTAATGTTAAAGAAACTTTAAGACATTAGTCCTGTTGTAACCAATGCTGTTGGATCCAGTTGAGATAAATGAACTCTCCCTAGCTAATTAACTAATTGGCAGTAATACACACCAAAATCAATATTACCATTAAATTGGATTTCATCACGTACTACACAAACTCATGATGCACATTGATTTAAGTAGTTACGTGAAAAGGTCAGAAGACGCAATATTAAAAACTGTGACAGTTATTAACAATAAGAAAAATAAGAAATCGAGCGTGCTGTCGTGGCCCCACTACGTATTTTTTGCGTGTAAATCTACACCGGAAGTTGTTATAGTGTCGTTTAACAGGATGCAGTGAGGTCATCCGAAAGTCAGACGCTGCCAGCATAGACCGGCGTGACGTCGCCCGTGTGGCAGTTTAAGATGCGTCGCGGCGCTTGGCAACGCCACTTCACTCGGCGCCGCTACGCCCGACGCCTCTCGCCGAGGCGATGCTTGTATTGGACATTCGGACGCGGCTTTTAGACCAATCACCAGATCACCACCTGCTCCGTCCACTGCGGCGGCCCGGGTGAATTCGGCTTGGGACGTCGCACGAGTTGCAAATGTTGTGCACTGAGCGGGCAAAGACCTTGCCCTTCTAAGTCTACAAACATATCTTCATAATTTATTAAAGTTAAATTTTGATAACAATGCGGAGAACCGTAGTATATCTTCGGATTCTAGAGAAGAGAGGAGAATCAATAGATATTTAATCATACATTTTTTTGGATTTTGGTAGAATCTTCACAACCTGAATTTTTATCCAATTTATTTCAAATACGTGTAAACCATATACACAAACTCAGGTGTGCTACAACACCTACATCCTACTCGCATTATTTATCAGTTGTAATTTTTAAAAAGAATTCAGAGAGTACCAAAACGTAACTCACGCGTGCGTCTTTTAACTTCTTATAAATCCGCGAAAAAGAAATAAGGAACCAAATGTTTGCCAAAGAGATTGTTTTGTAATTAATTGCAATAATTTCATTGAATTATTAATTGGGAAACTTTAAAAGTTTTTACAACACAAATATGTACTAAGTATCTTATTTTAAAGAACTGTGTTACTGCTAATAAAACATATTTCCTTAAAGGCGCAAATATCTCCATCTGTACTTTGCAGCTTAAAAACTATCAACTTTTATGCACATTTTTCGAAAAACCAAAAGATGTTCCAGACATATGAGTCATGGAAATATATCCAGCTATCTTTTTACCTGCTTCTTCAAACACATAACGCAGACAGAAACATTTGAACGTTTCTTTAGCATAAAAGTTTTTCGGACTTGTTACTAAAAATCTCTATTATAGGTCCGACTAAGATATTTCACACAATTCTACCATTTAAAAAAAAACTTCATCACGCTTATCCGATTCAAGTCAATGTTTTTTCAAATGACAGAATTATATTTAAAAAATATCCTCTATCTCCTTTTACTGTAGCTGTAGGAAGACACCGAAAACGAAACAATTATGAATTTGAAAGCATGGTCGGAAACAAAGGGTCGGTGTTCAATGAATCAAGTGTATAAAGACTTGGTGTACCCACCATTCTTTCAACGTCTATCAAATTTCTCATAGATCATCAAGTTTCCCCCGCAAGATGAGATAAGCGATACAATGAGATCCTATTATTTTCCAATTGATAGGCTAATGTGACATAAATAATTTTAATTTATAAGCGAGAACAACACATTAAACCTAGTTTTCTGTTACAGCTGTTGACACTATGTTTTGGTGTCGGTCAAAAATGTCTCCTGATTTACCGAGAGAACACATTTACAATACTCTAAATATGTCTTACGATACGTTTAAGAACCAACCAGAAACTAGGTAGCACATAATATTCCTACAAAACTAATTTCTCCAACTTATTTATTAATTATTCATATTTTCAAAAATTTCACCGAAGTTCCCAACAAACATCAAGCGTGTTCAACCTTCCTAAGGCCATCTGTTGTTTTGATGCGATTTGTTTGTTTTTTCATCCATGAAAAAAAAATTAAAGACAAAAATTTGGGAACCGCCTTTTGAGAATTGAGGTTCTTTATAATTTGCAGAAACTTTGAAGCACAAATTACAGTGAAAAACGGCTTGTTATTTTCATATTGAGCGCATGTTACGTTTATTATAAATCGCTATTTTTTTTAGAAGTAATCTTTTTGTCTAAGAGATAGAAATTCTTGGATCTTCCAACTATCACGTTTTGAAAATTGTTAACATTACTTTGGCCAATTTTTTTCAAGAAACAGAAGATCACCAGAAATAATTGAACCTCCTACCCATCAGAGCCATCGCGAGAGTGTTGATGCACCGCTCATTTACATACAGTGACAGTACATCCTAACATATTTAAAAATACATTTATTGCTCGCCACAATTCCTGACTCTATTTTCGCACAAAAATCACCGTCTCAGAACATTCATTTAATACTTTTTTATGCCGACAAAGAAATCAAATTTACAATTGACCTCTGACTACAACCAAAAAAATTCGCTCTTAAAAACAGAGAATTCATCCTGCAAATAATAACGAATATCCCCAAACAGCAAACATTTCGACTAATATGTAGAGAGTATTCGAAACAAAATTGAAAACTTTAATTTCTCAAACCAATCTACATGAACTTTCACCACAAAAGAATAGAGAACTATGCATTATACCGCAGTTAAAGCCTATAATTTACTCTCTTATCCAAAAAAACAAAATGTTTCAACTCAAAAATCTCCTTGTCCTCCATTTTTGCGCGACTTACCTAAACTTATTAGACACACACATACTGTCGAAGCCTTTCTTCACAAAACTATCCTCTTGGAAAAGTTATATAAAATTCTAACTTCGACACTCAGATAGATGGGCCTCACTAGTTCATCTCAAATCGATGTCAGGAGAGACAGTACCTGAATTCTCGTGAGCGCACAGACAAACCCGTAACGGAACTATTATTAGGCGCAAACTGATCTGGTCCAAACAATATCTCGAGACTTGCTTCGAGTTCTATCTTATTGTCCCTTAATCGCGTTCTCCTTCTGACCGCTCAGAATCTCAACAGAAACTCAGATCTATCTCACTACACAATGTCGTTGTACAAAGCCCAACATGTACACTTTCTAAATCAATAGGAATAAACACTTGTATAACTATTTTTTTCCGTTTGTTCATAGAAGCCCGCCAATGGAGAAGTTCTGATCGGGAATTTAGAAACTTTCTGCGCCCACCATTTACCTCTCGGTCTTACATATAATCTTCGCCTTGGTCAAACACCAACAAACACAGCCAGACAAAACAGGACGATTTAGGTAGCCTCGATCTCATCCGAGGCGAAGATAACAAAGCATCAATCTACATATTAACCGTGACTAATTATCTTCAACGCTTATTTCTAATTTTTAGGTAACATACAATAAATCTTTCTCACAGGCCAGAAAATAGGAGAAAGTTACGCCATAAGTCTTCGACACGGTAATACTGAAGTGCATGACATATTCTCGTTACATCTTTACCGTACAAAGAACGATGCACACTACTAGAAGTGCCATCTCTTCTGCGATCAATGGGCAATACTCTCACTCGAGGAGTTCAACATCATATAATATCTCCTACGTGTTTGGAAAATTATTAAGAAGTGCTAGGCCAGTCCAGCTCACCTGACGCTACGCGGAAGCACGCAGTGTGACTAGTAAATACCCGCATCGAAGGTCTATTCGCAAATACAATGCTTCTATTTACCACAGGTGCGAAAGCCATAGGGCCGCATTAGCTACTACTCAGTTACTGCGCGACACGCGCTATGCCTAGGCTAGTGTTATCGCCAAGCACAATAACAGCGAATCTACGATTTCCCACGTTGTGCCCACTTTCATGCGGCCATCTTACACCATGAAGCTGACAGCGCGAAGACTTCTTGATTCAAGCACTGACCGCATAAGGGTTTATAGTAGAGCACCATGACACTGACGAACTTCCTCCCTCAGCGATCGCCAAAACCCTCATTCTACCCATATCAATCCTTATCCGACCCCTCGAAGCCTCCTACCGTTCCATTTCTGCCTCCAGGGCGATCCGCATCATCCACTTCCTCCCGCAGCTCGCCCCTCCTCCCCTCGATCTATGATCCTAACAAACCTCGTTCGACCCCTCCTGCCCCCTTTCCCTCATCCTCCCCCTTTTCCCCCCTCTCTCCCCTCCTTTCGCCCTCCCTCCCCCTTCCCCCCTCCCCCTGTCCGACACCCTCCTCCCTCACTATCTCACGAGCCCCGCCTCCTCCCCCTTTCCGCCCTCTCCCCCTTTACCACCCTCCCCACTGCCAACCCCATCCTCCCCCTTCCACTAACCGTCCTGCTCCTTGAATATTTTTTGTAACATACTTCTCGACAACATAAAATTCAAAGTCAACAAGAGATTGCTAACATCCTATTAAAGTCATGCGTTGACAACTCATAAAGACATTCAATCAATGTTTTATGTTTATACGCTTTAACTACCGGACAGTTCCAGTCTTGTGGTTGGAATTTAATACTTCTCGAGGTGTACAACTTCACATATCCTATTCTTCGTTATTAAATAATACCGCATTCATTGACTCACTGTTTGAGTCTCACATTATAGACTATTTTCTTGTCCACTCCACAACACCGCTTCACAACAATACTCCACGACCAATCATATCAGCGAAAGCAATATCTTCTTCAACATATACTTTTCATTTAACGCGCAAGAGAAGTGTTAACAAGAATGCATTTTAATTTTATTCAGGTCCTATTGAAGATTCATATTTTTCTTATAACAAAACTAAAATGTTTTCTGTATGACTTGTGCTATCTAGAACAACCACAAAATACTCAACAGAACTTTGTTTTAGAAATCAATTCATCTCTCCCGACTCAAATATTCCTTTGTGGCACGTCTCGTGATTATTACTCTGGATTAAAACGGCTAGCTCGGTGGAAAAAGCACATCATGGTCCTTTACATCGTTAATCTGGCACTGAACAGGACATACCTCTGTAGCCTTAATCTCGGAAAAACATCTGCCAATCAAACTCGAATCCTAGCAGTATCCCATTCAGTGCACTGCAGTGAAAATGTGGTCTAAAGCACCTCAGTCTTTAGAAATTACGACGAATTACTATACTCTCACAGAAAATACGAACAAGATTACACAAAAATTAAGTTTACGAAATGAAGGAATAACGTTCATCTATTTTAAAACATCGTTAACGAACAATGGCAGGAATGTATCATTGTAAAAAATGACAAATATTATTCAGAGAGGTGTTGCAAATTGATCTCCATTGATTATTCTTTCATTAAGAGAAAACGGGCTGACTACATTAATGCTTGTGAAGTCGGATTGTGGTGCTGGTCGGCCTGCGGCTGGTAGCGGCGGATGCGAGCGAAGCACGAATTGCAGGGTCCGTGAACGAGAGGACCCAGCGCACGCGTTGTCAACCTCACTGCGCGGCGTCGCACGCCCTGGCAGGCCCAGCTGCAGGCACTGACAGACAGCCCGGCCCACCCCGTCTGCTTCTCCAGCCCGCCCCCGTCCCGCTGCAGGGCGTCCCCCGCCCAGACCCTGCCCGTCATCCCGATCAAGACGCCCCACGGCCCCGCTCAACACGTCCCTGCACGAGGCGCGGCGCGCACGACGACGTGGACAGCTCGATGGCGTGCTGCTGCGCGCGCGCAACTCACGAGTGACACAACACGCCCCGACCGAGCGCGACGCGCGCGCGACACGGGCGTGCACGCGGCGGCCGCGAAGGCCGGCCAGGGCGACCAGACGAGCTGCTTGCGGCGGGGCGCGACCCCAGGACACGCGGCGCGCTGCTCCGCCACGCCGCTGCACGCGGCCGCCCCCACAGCCAGTTGCAGAGCGCCCGCGGCGGGCTGGTGGAGGCGGACGCGCCGCTCGGCGCCCCGACGCCCACGGGCGCCGCCGCCGACTCCGCCTCGCCAGCCCAGCAACGCCACTCCGCCTCTTCGATGTGACTGCAGCCAGGGGGCCGTCGGTGAGTGGGCGGACGCGCGGGGCGACTCGCGCTGTCATGCGGCGGCGCGGGCGCGAGTGGCGCGCCCGCCAAAAACTGGCCCGCGGAGGCGGCGGCCCGCGCGCGCGCCGCGACGCGTCTCGGCGCTGCTGCTGGCCTCGCGGCCTGGCGGGCGGCAGTACAGCAACGAGGGCGCTGGCGGCGCTGGAAAGCCATTGACCGGCCACTGTCCGCGCGTGTGTGCGAGGCAAGAGCTGGCGCGAGCGCTGGCGCGGCGGCCGCGGCCCGCAAGTTGGGCGATCGCGCAGCGTCTCCGAAGAGGTCGAGGCTGCAGCTCTTTCCTAAATTCGCGGTCGTTGCGCACTTTAAAATTGATCTTGCATCGCGAAAGAGTTGAGGCTGCGCTCTTACCGCAAACAAACTCGGTCGAAATCCGCACACTGCTCTGCCTTCTCGCGATCGCAAAACGAGCGCGGTGAAATTGTAAATAGAAATTGGTTTTGTATTTAAGATTTCGTATCACTACATGATACTACTAGCTATCATACCATTTTCTAATTTTCACTATTTGTCGGCACAAAAATCGCCACATTCGGGAATACAACACGAACAAAATTATCGGGACTAATGGCCGTAGCACTGCACATGCTCAGGAAGAATAATCGATTAAAAAATTTATTACATTAAGTACATATCATTATCATCATCATTGTCATTTTCACGGTCTGGGCCTAATCATCTGTTTCGGTTTGATGGTCCACAATTTTCTTGAACTTCCGGGATGTCGTTTTCCAAGGGTCAATTTCGCATCCCTTTTTAGAAAGGCGCTGCTTCTTTATTCTATATAGATCTTGTGTCTAATATATTTTATAATTTTCTATTTGATCAATGACCAATACAACTGTTAGTTTTTTTCGAATATCTTGATTTCTTTATTGATCAGCTTTTGGACAACATTTTACTGCTATTAGAAACTTTTTTTCAGATGCGTATATTGTGCCAATTCTACTTTGTTTCAAAGCCCAACATTTTCTACCGTAGCGCACGGTTGTTATTTTCATTGTATAGTACAGTTTTAACAGTGTTTCTTTTTGTGTTTTATTACCAAGGGTTCTTCTTATGGTTGCATTTATTAGCTGGAACCGACAGAGTTTTTTTTAATATCTTTGTCGTAGTTCTACGATAAATCGTTTCCTAGGTAATTAAAATTGCTTAGTTGGTGCAGAACATGATTTTGTACCATTATCTTAGATCCCATAGCTTCCTTCCCTCAAAATGCCGTAATTTGGGTTTCAGACCTGAATATTTCACGTTAAAATATCTAGCTATTTTTCTTAGCTTGTTGATATTGAGCTGAAGTTCATCTTCTGTTTCAGCAATCAAAACTTGATCGTCTGCATATAAATAAAATTTATATAACAGTTTTCTTGAATATCGGTACTACAAGAGGCAGTATAGTTATATTCATTCAGCATTTAATCTACATAT